CTAACTTTTTTTGTTTTTAAATTACACTGTAAGATGTATTTCATCCCAGTTTCTGTGGGAAAGGTGGCATCTAAAGTAGGTAAATAAAAACATTAAAGTTAACATTGAAGCTAGTTTTATCACTTAGTTTCACTCCCCATTCCCCAATTATACATGGTAATCAGGAATATGTTTTTATTTTGCTTTCTCTCTCTCTTTTCTTTTAAAAAAGAAAAACCATGTGTCGTAGTATTGCAATGTCAAGATTTTGAGGTGTGAAGATGGGTCCGAGACAAGTCAGTCTTCAGGTCAACAGGAAAGACTCACAGAGATGGTAGATTCCTTTACCAGCAGTGTATTTACAAAATATATGTACAACAGAACTACTGTATGTACGTTAGTCAGCAGAATAAATAATAGACAGTAAACTAAACAGGCAGCACTTTGTGCAGCAACTCTCCATACAAGGCTCCATATTCCACTATAGTGTGCAGCACTTATATGGTGTGGGCAGCCAATCACTGGCACATCACTTGATGTCTTCTTCTAGACATTACGTTATGCCCAATACACATTTCAAGGATTGTGTCTTATAAAATGGATGTCCAACAGTTCACTCTGATTCATGTACAAAAAGTAAATTCTCTATTATGAGCCACAATATCCTGACAGGCTATACTCCCCCCTTTTGGTCTATACTTCCCACTTAAGACTTGAAAATATCTGAGAAGGACTTGTCAGTAGCAAGAATCTGGTAGAAGGCATTCCTAGCTATTGAAGCTAACTCTGCGTCAACTGCAACTGGTGAATCAATATGTACCACAAATTACACATCTGCTCTTTTGGAGGAATCTTATCCATCAATTCACAGAGAAGGGAAATAATAATCGTACAACGGGGGAGTAACTATGGAAATAACGTAACTTTTGGAAGCAAGTTGCTCCAGTTTAAGAAGTCACCAGTATGCAACATATAATGTCTACACCGATTTTGGAACTTTATGCAATTCACCTACAAAAAGTTTGCTATTTGTGCTATACCAGTGTAACTAGGCAAGACAATTTGGGCCTAAATGTTAACTGGCTTAACACAGATCTATCAGAATTGGGTCTCATGTGGTTATTCTGAATTACTTGTGCTTCACTCATAAAGAATTTTTGATTGGGAGGTACAATGAACATAAACTCTGTCATTAGAAAAAAAATGGAACACAGAACGTATGGAGAGTGAACATTCATAAAGCAACTGAGAAAAGGATGCCCCGATCAAAGAACAACTGACTGACTTGAGATAGTGATGAAAAGAATATTATAATGAAATAGTGCTAAAAGAAGCAGTGTTAAGTGGCATATTACTGTCCCTGGAAACATATTGGGTCAGGAGACGTTTGCACAAGGCCTAACGACTGGTGTTGGTAACTTTGCCACAGAAGGTAATGTCATCAGTTAACCTACTTTTCCAAAGAGCTTATAGAAATACACACTATAAAGCATAGTGAGAGTACGTAACTTTGTCATGCTCCTCTTCATCTCACTATATCATCTATCTTCAACATTCACTGCAGTATTTTACTGCCAGTATAGACTGCCAATTATACAAATCTCTCTTAGATCAAAACCTTTGTTTGCCACTATCAGCCTACGGTGTCGGGTTTTGTCAAGAGTTCTTTTGTAATTAGCGAGAGTACATATCCATGTACAGTGGTGCCTCGCAAGACGGGCGCTCCGTTTAATGACAAATCCGCATTACGACAAGGTTTTTGCAATCGCAAAAGCGATCGCAAAATGACGTTTTGAATGGGGGAATTTCGCTGTGCGATCATCGGTTCCCTATCTCAGGAACCGATTTTCGCTTCCCGATGATCAAAACAGCTTATCGTCGGGTTTTCAAAATGGCCGCCGGGTGCTCAAAATGGCTCCCTGCTGTGTTTAGGAGCCATTTTTCGCTGCACAGGCACCAGAAACTGGCCGCCCCATGGAGGATCTTCGCTGGATGGTGAGTTCTTAGCCGATTGGAACGCATTAACCAGGTTTTAATGCGTTTCAATGGCTTTTTTATTTTCACTTTACGACGTTTTCGTTCTACAACGATTTCGCTGGAACGAATTAACGTCGTAACGCGAGGGATCACTGTATTTATTTGTATATTAGTAATCATGTTTTTATTGCTTAGTTTCATTTTGTAAACTGCCCAGAGTGAACTTTGGTTAGATGGGTGGTATATAAATTAAATGAATTAATGAATATTCATGGCATCTCTTCCCATGCACTTGGAAACAGAATAGTTATTTCCTTGTTCCAACTGTTCCTCTGAGTAACACGAGGGACCACTGTATTTATTTGTATATTAGTAATCATGTTTTTATTGCTTAGTTTCATTTTGTAAACTGCCCAGAGTGAACTTTGGTTAGATGGGTGGTATATAAATTAAATGAATTAATGAATATTCATGGCATCTCTTCCCATGCACTTGGAAACAGAATAGTTATTTCCTTGTTCCAACTGTTCCTCTGAATCCAAACTGTGTCTCTATTTTTTTACACTGCTTGTAAGTTCTGCCAAGTTTTATTTTCTTTTTTAAAATTATAAGACAATGGCTCATTAAGCTTGTTACTCTGTAGCCACTACAAACATTAGTACTTTTCATTCATAGGGCAACCATAAGTCAGAGGTGACTTGACAGCACATAACAAAGGAATCACAGATATTCTATTAGGGTTTTTTTGTTATATTGCTTCAACAATCATTTTATTTGACTTTCTTTTGGATATTCTTGGATAAAGCACTCTATTTGACTTTTTAAATGTTTTATTCATATTTTCTGTTTTTACTGGTTGAATCTAATAACTTGCCAGTTCAAAACAAGTATAATTTGTATCTGACCTATCTGAGTGTGTGGTCTTATTGATGCCTTTATTTTCTTCTAGCAGTACAGTGGTGCCTCGCTTAATGGGCGCCCTGTTTAACGACAAATCGCATAGTGATGAAGATGTTGCAATTGCAAAAGAGATTGCATTGCTATGTTTTAAATAGGCAAAAATCGCTTTGCGATGATCGGTACCCTGTTTTGCTTACCGATCATCGCAAAGCGATGATTTTTTAACAGCTGATCGGCGGTTCCAAAATGGCAGCCGGGTAAAAAAAATGGCCGCCCGCTGTTTTTTGGGACGGATTCCTCGCTTAACGGGCAGCGAAAATGGCCACCCTATGGAGGATTTTCGTTTAAAGGTGAGTCTGAAGCCCATAGGAACGCATTGAAGGGGTTTCAATGCATTCCTATGGGCTTTTTAAAAACACATAGTGACGAAATCGCTTTGAAGCGATTTTTGCTGCACCGATATCGTCGCTATGCGAGGCACCACTGTACTTACTTTATTTCCAGGCTTTATAGCATGGAAAAGTATAAGACTTTCCACCCACTTGCCCATTCCAGTGCTATGGTTGATTGTAATACCTGCAGTTTTTTGTACCACAGCTTGAACAGTAATAATTGCCTCTGGTCTCTCTGATACGGACACTGCTGCAGCTAAAGGTCACATGGGGTTTGCAGGTGATTCAGTTCTTCAGGGTTCTAAGAGTCTCCTAGTCAAGCTCCTCACCTGAAGCCACTGACTCTTCCAGGGGAAGGGTAAATTAACCACTACCCAATACTTGAAGTGACTGAGATACATAGCTGTGCTGCTCATAAAGATTGCTTCAGAGGGCTACTCCTCTGTACCAGCGAGGTGTCTACATCAAATGTATACCTCTGACTGGTCTTTCTTTCAAACGTCACTCAAGATGGTATCTTAAAATGCTAACTAGAGATGGGATATTTGTATTCATAGCCAAGTGCGGAAGTAGCCTTCCCCACCTCCCCGCACAGCCAAACACAGAGGTGGGCTGCTGAGTGGTCAGCTGTGCCAGGAGGCATAGAAGCACTGGCTGGGCTACTTCCACAATTGGTGTGATGTGAATGACAATGGCCGCGCATACCATGTGGCAAGCAGTAAGTGGACCAGCCAGTTCTGGGGGAAGATTCCGGTTTCCCCAGGCATCTGTGGTGCCAATATTTATATCCCCAGGGATACAAATATGAATATCCCATCTCTAATACAAACCTTTTTAATAAATGAAAAAGCATATTTTCTAATGCTTCAATATTTTCCAGATCAAACTTACAGATTATCACACTATGACTACTGCAAAGACAAAAGTTCACCCTCCCTTATGAGAGTAAAGCATCTACACAACTAGAATATGACCCCAACAAGATACTTGTTTTATTTATAAATTTGTGACTATAAGTTCAGGCTGTTGCTTCATGCAGTTCCCAGCATGGACACTGACCACGATAACAATGATACATTTTTTCATATGGAGAAAAACTCTTGAAAACTCTATTAAGGTCACCATAAATTGGATGCAAGTTGAAGGCACATCACAATACACTATGTTTACTTACTCCACAATATCTCTTACTGAGAAAGACTGGGGACATAATTGATACTACTATACTATCAGCACTACTATTATCATTAAGCCATCAACACTATTATTATTATTAAGCCACCATCTTTTCTATGGCTACTAATGTTCAAATTGTCTATGAGCTTAATCCCAACACTGTAAATATGATCCCTAGATATCCGAATGATTAAACTACCTCACTTTTAACAGCAAGTCAATTTTGACTACCTCACTTTTAACAGCAAGTTCCTTTTATATTGCCTTACTGCAATCATACAAAAGCTTTGTTCTTACAATCCTGGAGACTATTTTGATTAGCAGCAGTTCCTTTATCAGAAAAATAAATCCACCTAAAACTAATCTTTGAGGAGTAAGAGAACCTACATTAAAATTTATATAATACGAAGCAAGCTTCCAATTTTTATTAGTCCTATTAAACACTTGTCTCATACTACGATAGATTTCATTGAATAAAGAGGAAAGCCACATAATTTGTAAGTTTTATTCTTCTCACATAAAGAAAGCAAACTAACCTTCAATGATAGAAAGTTCTGCTCATAAACAAAGTCATACCTGGGGAAGTGCAGTATTCAGCTGTCGCTGGAGAGAATCCCTTTCATGACCAACTTCGTGCAGTTTCCCCTGTGTTAACGCTAGCGTTTCTTGAGTTTCTCGCAGTGTATCCAGGAGCCGATCACGTTCCTCTAACATAGATACCATTAACTGTTCAAAATGGGAATCAGCATCAGATTGTAGTGGAGACCCTGAACCATGGTGTCCATTTCCTCCTGAAGGAATCTCTGCCTCACTGATGGTTGGCATCACCTCGCACATCATCTGGAAACGGAGTTTAAGACATACTTAGCTAGACCATAAAGTAAAACCAACCACAAATTCTAATCAAATAACAGAGCCACTGTAGTAAAAATAATTGTGTTATAGTAACGATGTAATCTTCATACAGATTATCAGTGTGCCCTGTAACAGTGTCTTTACAACTATGTTATGTCACAGCTGAAATCTGTAAGTCAAGTTTAAAACAACGAAGCATTTGCAGCACAATTTCCTAACATGAATATATTATTTTCTTTTTAAATAGGAACGTCCATCACAAAAAGATCCTGTATGCAACATACATATTGGCAAAACAAATTGCCTCTAGCGCCCACATATACATTCACTGGAATAAAGATTGCTCTTTATCACACTAAGTATCCTGTCAGAGTTATTAGAGATCAGTGGGAAGTTGAACCTATATACTCTTTTAAACACATATGTAAGGATAGGAATATGAATCGTGAACCTGATTAGCAATTAAAAGTATTTAATTACAGACAATAGCTATTGATGAACATAAATGTTAATTACATGTTAATGACATGTATCTTATTTTATGAGTTAGCAGGTTTAAAAAAACAGAAAAAGCAAGCAAACACTTATTCCTATGACTTCTTGTAAACAAACCAATGGTGATTTTTTGCAACAGCACAGAAAATGGCTAGCTCTGCATGCATAAGAGAAATGATAGCAGGAACAGCAGAGAGCTGCTTTGGCAATTTTGGGAGAAACACAGCTTTGTCACATGAGTTGCATGCCCATTCAAAATTGCCAAAGGAATCTGTTAATCATAAGGAATTTGTCACTGCTGCTGATGTCATTTGCATTGCATATATAGAACAGCTCAACAGGATTTCAGCCAGTTAGTAATACACACAAAAATGGTACTCATGGATCCTTAGAAGTTCATTTTGCTAACACTGCTTTACATGCTGCCCTTCGGGCTTATTACAATGGGTCTATAACTCTATTACAGAAGTCTGTTATCACAAATTAATATTAAACCTTTATACTTTTACACTAGATATTACAATCAATTAAAAAGAGAAAGGCCTTTATGATAAATGAAGAACCTGTACACATATATAATAAAAGTTGAATATATGAACTGTTGGATAGTTCAGTGGTTGCGGAGCCAGAGGTTGGGAGTTTGGGTCCCCACTGTGCCTCATTGACAGCAGCTAGACTTGATGATCCACAGGGTCCTTTCCAGCTTTACAGTTATAAGATGATGGTGATGATTGCTGTTTCATTTTGAAGTAGAATTATATGTTCTGAAATAATTGTCTTTTTTTACTGTATACTGAAAAAAGAGAACGTTACCTTGTTCAGGCTGGGAGAATCAAGTAGCAGCTCAACCGCAGCTTTATGGTGAGGCTAACTGCAATGTGAAAGTTGTAATAAAACTATTTTAAAAAAGATTGTCTGCCTTAAATGAAGGAATTCATATTGGCAAAGTTTAACTGGGTGTACAATGAATATTTCATGATTTCATTGGTCCTAGATGGGTAGGTGGAATTCAAAGTATTATGCATTTATCTGGTTGGAGAGTAGGTGAAGCAAATGAGTGGAAAGCAGCTGAAAAGTTGTTTAGCAGAGAGCAGTTGGGAGCAAAAGTAGGAAGCAACTGAGAAAAGCTTCAAGACTTCATTTGGGTGGCAAAACCTGGAAGTTGAGTAAAAACATAAGAGGAAGCTGAAATTACTTGAGGATAACTGAAGAAGAACTTCATGTGTAGGCAGAAAACTCCATAGGCAGCCTTAATGAGAAATTTGTGACCACATGTCAAGAGAGAACCCAACTGTAGGTGCTCAACAACAAGGAAGAATGAAAAACTCTTGAGAAAAAGATCAACATATGTCCAAGTGCTCAGTAATCCACCAAAAGATCTAAGGCATCCCAGGCAGTGCAGTAGAGCTCACAATAATTAGAAAAAGGCTTAGTTAGGGTAAATGTCACTCTTAATATAGCTAGTTTACTGAGTTTGCGAAGCACTATCTATATATAGCAGGGTGAATAAAAATAATGTCAAAAATCAAATTGATTTAAATCACGATTTAAATTAAAAGATTTATTGTAAAAAAGTAAATAATCAAAAATCCAATTTTTCTGATTTAAATTATGGCTTAAACCAATTTGATTTAAAATGAATCCACCCTGCACTTTAGAGGCAACAAGCCACTTACATTTAATAACTCTAAACCGGTCAATATTATGTAAATATTGTTAATTAATAAATTCATTAGGTTTTTAAGTACTTAAATTATTCTTATCCAATGACTAAACCCAGGTATTGAAAGGGAGGGAAACAGAAAAAGAGTGAACAGCTATGGTACCAATGATATTTGAATAAGGGAAAAATAAGGAGGCTCAAATGATGTTTACATTATGTCACTAGTGCTCAATAGTGTAAACTTGGTTACAAGAATATGAGCTCAATTTATTTATTTATTTATTTTATTTATATCCCGCCTATCTAGTCAATAAACCACTCTAGGCGGGATATAAGTAATTCATTATACACAAAAGACAAGGCCAGTGTATAATAGGGATGCAATTATCCTAATATCCGGGTAATTCACAATTACAGGACAGAAAACAAACCCATGAAAGTAGAGCTAATCAAAGCACTAAAACCACTAGGTTTAGTGTGCTACAAAAGACAGCCACAGGAATGAAACAAGGCTCCTGCTGAAAAGCGTGGGATTTCTACCCTGTTTCCCCAAAAATAAGACAGCTAATCAAAGCGCTAAAACTGCTACAAAAGACAGCCACAGGAATGGAACAAGGCTCTTGCTGAAAAGCGTGGGATTTCTAACCTGTTTCCCCAAAAATAAGACAGGGTCTTATATTATTTTTTGCTCCAAAAAATGCATTAGGCTTATTTTCAGGGGGTGTTTAATTTTTTTCATGTACAACAATCTACGTTTATTCAAATACAGTTATGTCATTTTATTCTGGTTGCTGCACAGTGGTGGAGGGCAGGGTTTCACTTAACTGGGACTTATTTTGGGGGTAGGGCTTGTATTACGAGCATCCTATACTAGGGCTTATTTTCAGGTTAGGTCTTATTTTAGGGGAAACAGGGTAACACTTTGATAAAAGTAGTTAGACTACTCTATGAAGTTCAATTTAGATGTATATGAATTTGTCCATTTCTTGTTGTTTAGTCGTTAAGTCATGTCCGACTCTTTGTGACCCCATGGACCAGAGCACGCCAGGCCCTCCTGTCTTCCACTGCCTCCCGGCGTCGGGTCAAATTCATGTTGGTCCCTTCGATGACACTGTCCAGCCATCTCATCCTATCTTTGCCTCTTGCCTTCACACTTTCCCAACATCAGGGTCTTTTCCAGGGAGTCTTCTCTTCTCATGAGATGGCCAAAGAATTGGAGCCTCAGCTTCAGGATCTGTCCTTCCAGTGAGCACTCAGGGTTGATTTCTTTCAAAATGTATAGGTTTGTTCCCTTTGCAGTCCAGGGGACTCTCAAGAGTCTCCTCCAGCACCACAATTCAAAAACTATGAATTGCCTATTTCTGCATAGCATTAAAAAAAACTACAGAACTTGAATGAATCTGTTAGTTCCCTTAATGAACCTTAACTCAAGAACAGATTTTTCTTTAAAGCTAAAGTAAAACTAAAAATAAATTTAAGAGCAAATGCTCCTAAAATAAAGCCTTTCTTGCCTTCTTTTAGATGTTCACAAGTACTCAGTTAAACATAAGCAAGCAATTTTCTCAAAGGATGTATTCCATTTCTCACATGTTTATGATTATGTAATGAAACAGAAATGAGCTTCATAGTTAATTCTTAACACTGAGCAACGTATGCAGAATTTACCTGATAGATTCAAAAGAGAACGTCTCGGAAGTTACGTTTTCAAAGTAATTTCTTATTTTACATCCAGAAATTTCCCTTGCCTTACCTTGTCTGATGAATCTTTGACAGAAGTCCACGTTTTCCAGAAATATCAGCTCTTTTTAGCAACTTCGCATGACTTCCAAAACCATCTCAAACCGCTGAGTAGCCATCCCGCCTGACTATAATGTCCATTCATTAAACGATCCCCAAGCCCTGGAAAGCCACAAAAGGCAATGAATATGCCTGGTGGGAGAAAGAGATGGTCTAACAGGAGCAGCCCTTAGTCAAGGGGTCTGAAGTAATCCAACGGGCACAAACTGATAGGACAGGGTTCCGTTCCCTTCCTCTTTAATCCTTCTCCACAGGTCTTTCTTCCACAGCCAGTCAGGGGAAAACATGTGCAAGAAAAGACCAAACGTCTTTCAGCGCCTGTGGGCTAACAATCGACCACGCATGGTACGGATACCTCACATTACTTTACAAAAAGAAAAAAACAACGACAAAGAAACCAACAGGCCGAGAGGGTTACTCTTCGCTCGAAGGACCTGGAAGGCACTCCTTTTTTTTCCTCCTCTTGTTCGGCAGCGTCGGATCCGTCCTCTCCTTCAGCTTCCCGGGTCTTCTCTCACGCATTTATAATTCCTCCTCTGTTTGTTCGAAAACCAAAAAACTGGTGTTTGGGGGTGGTGGTGGTGGCGGCGGCAGTTTCAGAAGACGCCCGGGGATGCAGAGACTGTTCCTGGGACTTGGGTATCATCAACCACCATCCTTCCTTCACTCCTGGAAGGAATTAAAAGAAGAACTGACTCTTCCCGGCGCAGCCGTCGGGAAAGGAGCCTTTAAAAACACCCGAGAAGTTGGAGAAAAGCGGGGTCCGAAGACGGGGTCCCTCAGAGGTTGGTCTCCCCCCCCCTCCCGCCGTCCCCTCACAGAGAAGCCGAGCGACGAAGGGAGGCGGAGTTTCTCTTCCCAGAGGCCTCCGGGGACAAGCGGCGGCGCCGGCGGAGGGGAGGCTTTTCTTCCCCGCTTTCCGCCCTCCACTTCGGCCTTGCC